GTACACTATCAATGCATATGTAACTCTGTGTAAGGAAATCAGTGTCTGTCTAAAATCTAGACCATAGCCCTGATGATCGTCACTGGTTATGAAATGCATGCCAAAGAGGCCTAGGGTGATCTTATATTGAAGCAATACATTTTTATCCTTATTTCACATTCCCAGAATATGGGAACGTAGATAATTTGCATCTTAGAAAAATAAAACTTGGAAATATAATGAGCCTGCTTTCTTCTCATGTGGGTAATCACTATTTCCTAAAGAAAAAATTTTAAAGTTTCAAAATATTTCTTAGTAAGGAATCTGAGGGCGTTTCACTCTACCAGTTTTGATGTCTCATCATAATGAAATTTTAAAGGCTATTATTTTCCATTTAATTGGTAATTTGGGACCTCCCAGGTGGCCTAATAGTAAAGAATCTGCCTGCCAATGCAGGAGATGCAAGACACTCGGGTTCAATCCCTGGGTTGGGAAGATCCTCTGGAGTAGAAAATGGCCACCCACCTCAGTATTATTGCCTGGAATATTCCATGGACTGAGTTAGACATGACTGAGTGACTAAGTACACATGCAACTGAAGATTAACATTAAGAGAATTTACATAAGGCGAATGATACAGGAAGGGACACTCTGGAAAATTACAAATAATCAAATAGTGTAGTTTATGTAGTGTATTAGTATGGTAGCTGCTAATCCTCACAGCATTCTGAAAATAAGATCTTCTATACTGAAGTGAACCTGCATTGCAGGCAGATTCTTTACCAGCTGAGCTACCAAACTTTAGTCAAAGAATAAATTTAATCAGAGAGGTGAGAAAATGCAGAAAGGAAATCAGTCAAGCAAGACAAAAATAATAATTTAGCCATTCAATGAAGTCAAGGATCTTTAGTTCTTCCTCTAGAATTATAGACAGCTTTCTGAGTCATGTCTTTTGAGTTGTTGTGCAGATGCTGAAACTCCCTCCAGGAGGGAGAAAACTGTAAGCTGCCCATAAGTACATGCTTCCCAGATGGCCCAGTTTTAGTAAAAGAATCTGCCTGCCAATGCAGGAGATGCAAGACACTCGCGTTCGATGCCTGTGTTGAGAAGATCTCCTGGAGTAAGAAATGGCAACACACTCCAGTATTCTTGCCTGGAAAACTTCACGGACAAAGGAACCTGGTGAGATATAATCCATAGGGTCCCAAAGAGTTGGACACGACTGAGCACCACCACCACCACCATGAAACCACCCTAGATCGGTTGGAACCAGAAGCCTGATGATGCTGATTTCCAGTGATCTCACCACCAACCATTCAGAAGAATGTCTATAAGCTGATCACGACCTGCTGCTTGAAACAGTACTATAAAACCCCTAGTGGGGCACACAGTTTTAAGGGCATTAGCCCACAGTGGCCCCCTTTGACTTAACAATAAACCTATTTCTACTTCACCCAAAACTCTGTCTTTGAGATTCAAGTCTGTGTCAGTGCACAGAGGCTCAATTTCAGCATCAACATCTATAATTTGTGACAGCAATACAAGACACAAATGAAATGATCTTCGTGGCCTGTTTCAGAAATATCTAAATCATATCTTCTCTGTAGAAATTAAATACGTATCGTGTTATGAATTGCTGTGTGTACATAAATTCTGCTCAGGTCTAATATCTGTCTAGTTCTCTCCATCATCCCTCCCACTCCTGTTGGTACCAAAAGAGTGTGTGCGGTCCAACTGCTCGCTGCTCAAAAGCCAATAAACACGCCAGGTTAGTGGAAAGGAAAGTTTGCTTCATTTCAAATGCCGGCAACTGGGGTGGGGAAGGGTGGTGGCCATCTGTCCAAAGGCCTACTCCCCCATCTGACAACTGGCAACCAGTGGGGCAAGAGCTTTTATAGACAGAAGGAGGGGGCTACATGCAGAAACAGCACAATCAGTTCTGACAGTCATCTTCCAAATTTCAGGGTCCATTTGTTCCCATTTCTTTGGAGCCAATTCTCAGAACTGTGGCAGCTCGTGTTCTGGGTACAGTCAGGTCATCATGTGGTTAACTTCTCCACCTGGTGTTTTAGTATCTCTAAGACAGCTCACAGGATATGGCTCAGAATATTATCTACAGCCCTTGAGAAAGAACTAAAGGTCCTCAGTTGGGGGGAACAAGGACCATACTGTCCTGCTCCATTTCACTATGACAAGATTATATCTAATTAGGTGTCAATAATAATGACTTTGTATTGAGCTACTCTAATTCTCTACACTGTGGCCACAGATTTCCTGTGGCAAACCTTCTTTTCCCACTTCCATGCTCTGGTTCCTCATTTGAAAAAAAAAAAAATTAAACTGTTGGGACTTCCGTGGTGCTCTGGTAGCTAAGACTCCACTGCACACCCAGAGCAGGGGGCCTGGGTCTGATCCCCAGTGAAGAAACTGGATCCCACATGCCCCAACTAAAGATTCCTTCATGCCCCAACTAAGACCCTGCACAGCCATATAAATATTTTTTTAAGTTACTCTTTTAATACTATTTATAAAGCCCTATTTTCCTAAGTCCCTGTTTAGCAATCCAGCCTCATTTTTTACCATGATCTCTCAACTCATCCACACTTCATGCTCCACCCAACTGTCAGACTGGTTTTGGCAGGGGGGGGTGGGTGGAATGAAGTATAGTTGATTTACAATACTATATGTTTCAGGTGTACAACATGGAGATTCAATATTTTTATAGACTATAGATTTTACCCCATTTGAAGTTATTATAAAAATTTGCTATGCCCCTATGCTGTATGTACAGGTCTTTCTTAGTGGCTCAGTGGGTAAAGAATTCACCTGCAGTGTAGGAGACAAAGGAGATGTGAGTTCGATCCCTGGGTCGGGAAGATCCCCTGGAGAAGGGCATGGCAACTCACTCCAGTATTCTTGCCTAGAGAATTCTATGGACAGAGGAGCCTGGTGGGTTACATTCCATAGGGTCACAAAGAGTCAGACATGGCTGAAGCAACTTAGCACACACGCCCACAATGTATTTTATTTATTTCACCCATAGTAGTTTGTACCTCTTAATCCCTCCCTATCCACACTCATAGCTACTATTTGTTCCCTGTATCTGTGCATCTGTTTCTGGTCTATTTATTCATTTGTTTTTATGTTTTAGATTCCACATATATGTGAAGTGTACTTACATTTTCTTTCTATGACATTTCACTGTGGTGATCAACAGAGGAGCTAGAGGGTGGGCTGGCCAAGTATGGGCACGGTTGAGGGTACTGGATGAAGCATAGGATATGGAGAAATAGAACAATGACCAGGAGCAAGTATCACTGTAACAAACTTTAGCAACTTTGTGATTGTGCTGAGCAACAAGTCTCCTGAGGCCAAACTGAGCCCAGATGTCAAAGCTGCACCTCCTAAAGGGGGTTTTGTTAGGATGAAAAGTTCGAGTCCTTGCTGTCACCTCTCCCCTCTTTCACTCTCAGCCTGAAATTACAGTCCTTGAGAAGTTGATAGCTTCTCGTTCAGCACCTGCTTCCAATTAGTCCAGGAGCAACAGGTGAAATTATGTTTAGAATCTTGCAAACCTCCAGAGGGTGGTTGATGTACTCATTAAGCCTAAGACTTCCGGAAAGTCCTGAGCTGTGAAACTGGACTCTCTCCTTTGGATTGTCAACAAAACCAAGTCTCCTGGAAGTTCAGATTATTGCCTGGCCCAAGAGGCTGAGTAAATTAGGAAAGTTTTTCAAAAGTTACTCAGGCAAGCAAACAAGATAGCCTTGCAGGCTCACTGATGTAAGAAACTGAGCTCATTTAAGAGCAGTAAAAATAAAAGTCAAACTACAGTCTTCCCAGAATGTTTTATTCTTAAAAGCCTTCATAATAGGCTTTTCCTTTCTTTTTTATTTTTTTTTGTTTGTTTTTTTATTTTTATTAGTTGGAGGCTAATTACTTTACAATATTGTAGTGGTTTTTGTCATACATTGACATGAATTAGCCATGGGCCTGGTACACTGGGAAGACCCAGAGGGATGAGGTGGAGAGGGAGGTGGGAGGGGGGATCAGGATGGGGAATACATGTAAATCCATGTAAATCCTTTCTTTTTAAAAAAAAAAACTTTATTGAAGTGTAATACAATGTTGTGTTAATTTCTGTTATATAGCAGAGTGATTCATATATATATATATATATATATATATATATCTGCATGTATGTTTTAATGGGCTTTTAAAAAGATAACTTCAGACTTATGAAAAACTGTGAAAATAATAGAGTTCTCATATGCCCTTTACCCAGCTTCTCCTAATGTTAATATCTTTTATAATCACAAAGTATTCATCAATAGTAAGAAATTATGGTACATAACATGGTACTTGATAGTATTAGTACAATACTATTTACTGAATACAGAACTTATTCGAATATCACCAGATTTTCCATGTCTCTCTATATCAGGATCTAATGCGAGACTGCACATTATATGTAGTTTTGTCCTATCTCTTTAGTTTCTTCCAATTTGTAACAGTTCCCCTGTTCTTCATTGTCTTTATGACTTCATACTTTTAAGGGTGCTTGTTAATTATTTTGTAGATTGTGCCTCAGTGTGGGCTTCTCTGATGATTTCTCATTGAGATGGGATGATACCCCATTAGGAAGGAGTCAAAGCTGTTATAGCCACACTTTCCGCAAAACAAACTCACTCAGAAGGACAATGCAGATAGTGGAGTGCAGTTTATTACACCGGCGGGCCCAAGGCAGAGTCTCCTCTTAGCCAAGGACCCCAACCAGCATTTGTGAAAATCTTTTATACCCCATGTGTACGTGTCCGAACCCACCACCCCAAATTCCTTGAGACTTACAAAGGAAGGGTAAATACAATCACAATAACCCCATCATTCGTGTGTTATGTGTTCAAATAGTCAATAATCAATAAGCCCGTGGTTACATTCCAACCAGTTAATAACCGATAAGCCTGTGGTTACATTCTGATAGATATTGTCTGGAGGCAGGGGTGATTAGAGTATGTTTTCTCTTAGGCGATGAGTAAACTGGATATGATCTTCAAGGTTCCCCTGTCTGGAGGGGGTCTTATCCTTCCATTGTCATTCCCATAGGCACTAAGCAGAGAGTTCATAGTCCATTGGAGAGGCGGCCCAGCACGATCAGCACGGACAGGCCTCAGATGGAGTCCAGGCCCTATGAATTCCTTCTTCAAAGCCAATGTGCCTGTTGGTTGCATCCTCAGATACATTCTCCTTTCCTTCTTGATGCTCAGCCACCTAAACCGAGGCCTCATTTTCTGATTCCCGTAATGCTTGTGCTCAGTCATGTCTGACTCTTTTGGACCCTGTGGCCTGTAGCCCTCCAGGCTCCTCTGTTCATGAAATTTCCCAGTCAAAAATATTAATACTGGCACAGGTTGCCATTTTCTACTCCAGGAGATCTTCCTGACCCAGGGATCAAACCCACGACTCTCACATCTCCTGCACTGGCAGGGAGATTCTTTACCACTAGCACCACCTGGGGAATGCTTAAGTACAGCCATAAGACTGAGTACTTGACAATGTGTTTGTTAGTCACTCAGTCGTGTCCGACTCTGCAACCGCATGGACTGTAGCCCATGGCCCGTCCATGGAATTCTCCAGGCAAGAATACTGGAATGGGTTGCCATTTTCTCCTCTGGGGATCTTCAGGGATCAAACCTGGATCTTCTGCATTGCAGGCAGTTTCTTTACAATCTGAGCCACCAGGGAAGCCTGAGTGAAAATGCAAATACAATTTTGACCTTGTTTTCTTAATGGGAAATGACATGCCCTGTACTTCATTATTTTCCCTTCCTATGCACTGGACCATGAACACAGCAATGACATACCTTTGCACTTTGAGCCAGCTTTCACCAACAGCAATACACTAGGGCACCTTTTCTCAATATGGTTCCCAGAGAATTTCCTCCAAAAAATTACTTGAATGACCAAATGTTCTCCCAAGGAGTACATGGCTAGGACAACTTTAGGTGAAAACGAGATAATTAATCACCCAAAAATGAATGCAATGACCATTAATTCTCTCCCAGAACAAATGGAGAGGAGATGGTGGAATTCTAAAGTGGAGAGAACCTAAGTCTTCAAATTACCCAGAGAGTCCAGACATGCCAGATTGATATCTTTTTTTTTTTTTCCATTTATTTTTATTAGTTGGAGGCTAATTACTTTACATCATTGCAGTGGTTTTTGTCATACATTGAAATGAATTAGCCATGGATTTACATGTATTCCCCATCCCAGTCCCCCCTCCCACCTCCCTCTCCACCCGATCCCTCTGGGTCTTCCCAGTGCACCATGCCCAAGCACTTGTCTCATGCACCCTACCTGGGCTGGTGATCCGTTTCACCCTAGATAATATACATGTTTCTCAGAACATCCCACCCTCTCCTTCTCCCAGAGTCCACAGGTCTGTTCTATACATCGGAGTCTCTTTTTCTGTTTTGCATATAGGGTTATCGTTACTATCTTTCTAAATTCCATATATATGTGTTAGTATACTGTAATGGTCTTTATCTTTCTGGCTTACTTCGCTCTGTATAATGGGCTCCAGTTTCATCCATCTCATTAGAACTGATTCAAATGAATTCTTTTTAATGGCTGAGTAATATTCCATGGTGTATATGTACCACAGCTTCCTCATCCATTTGTCTGCTGATGGGCATCTAGGTTGCTTCCATGTCCTGGCTATTATAAACAGTGCTGCGATGAACATTGGGGTGCACGTGTCTCTTTCAGATCTGGGTTCCTCAGTGTGTATGACCAGAAGTGGGATTGCTGGGTCATATGGCAGTTCTATTTCCAGCTTTTTAAGAAATCTCCACACTGTTCTCCATAGTGGCTGTACTAATTTGCTTTCCCACCAACAGTGTAAGAGGGTTCCCTTTTCTCCACACCCTCTCCAGCATTTATTGCTTGTAGACTTTTGGATAGCAGCCATCCTGACTGGCGTGTAATGGTACCTCATTGTGGTTTTGATTTACATTTCTCTGATAATGAGTGATGTTGAGCATCTTTTCATGTTTTTTTTTTTTGCCATCTGTATGTCTTCCTTGGAGAAATGTCTGTTTAGTTCTTTGGCCCATTTTTTGATTGGGTCGTTTATTTTTCTGGAGTTGAGCTGGAGGAGTTGCTTGTATATTTTTGAGATTAATCCTTTGTCTGTTGCTTCGTTTGCTATTATTTTCTCCCAATCTGAGGGCTGTCTTTTCACCTTGCTTATAGTTTCCTTTGTTGTGCAAAAGCTTTTAAGTTTCATTAGGTCCCATTTGTTTATTTTTGCTTTTGTTTCTAAAATTCTGGGATGTGGGTCATAGAGGATCCTGCTGTGATTTATGTCGGAGAGTGTTTTGCCTATGTTCTCCTCTAGGAGTTTTATAGTTTCTGGTCCTACATTTAGATCTTTAATCCATTTTGAGTTTATTTTTGTGTATGGTGTTAGAAAGTGTTCTAGTTTCATTCTTTTACAGGTGGTTGACCAGTTTTCCCAGCACCACTTGTTAAAGAGGTTGTCTTTTTTCCATTGTATATCCTTGCCTCCTTTGTCGAAGATAAGGTGACCATAGGTTCGTGGATTTATCTCTGGGCTTTCTATTCTGTTCCATTGATCTATATTTCTGTCTTTGTGCCAGTACCATACTGTCTTGATGACTGTGGCTTTGTAGTTTAGTCTGAAGTCAGGCAGGTTGATTCCTCCAGTTCCATTCTTCTTTCTCAAGGTTACTTTGGCTATTCGAGGTTTTTTGTATTTCCATACAAATTGTGAAATTATTTGTTCTAGTTCTGTGAAAAATACCGTTGGTAGTTTGATAAGGATTGCATTAAATCTATAGATTGCTTTGGGTAGTATAGCCATTTTGACAATATTGATTCTTCCAATCCATGAACACGGTATATTTCTCCATCTGTTTGTGTCCTCTTTGATTTCTTTCATCAGTGTTTTATAGTTTTCTATGTATAGGTCTTTTGTTTCTTTAGGTAGATATACTCCTAAGTATTTTATTCTTTTTGTTGCAATGGTGAATGGTATTGTTTCCTTAATTTCTCTTTCTGTTTTCTCATTGTTAGTGTATAGGAATGCAAGAGATTTCTGTGTGTTAATTTTATATCCTGCAACTTTACTGTATTCGCTGATTAGCTCTAGTAATTTTCTGGTAGAGTCTTTAGGGTCTTCTATGTAGCGGATCATGTCATCTGCAAACAGAGAGAGTTTCACTTCTTCTTTTCCTATCTGGATTCCTTTTACTTCTTTTTCTGCCCTCATTGCTGTGGCCAACACTTCCAAAACTATGTTGAATAGTAGTGGTGAGAGTGGGCACCCTTGTCTTGTTCCTGATTTCAGGGGAAATGCTTTCAATTTTTCACCATTGAGGGTGATGCTTGCTGTGGGTTTGTCATATATAGCTTTTATTATGTTGAGGTATGTTCCTTCTATTCCTGCTTTCTGGAGAGTTTTAATCATAAATGGATGTTGAATTTTGTCAAAGGCTTTTTCTGCATCTATTGAGATAATCATATGGTTTTTATCTTTCAATTTGTTAATGTGGTGTATTACATTGATTGATTTGCAGATATTAAAGAATCCTTGCATTCCTGGGATAAAGCCCACTTGGTCATGGTGTATGATATTTTTAACATGTTGTTGGAGTCTGTTTGCTAGAATTTTGTTAAGGATTTTTGCATCTATGTTCATCAGTGATATTGGCCTATAGTTTTCTTTTTTTGTGGCATCTTTGTCTGGTTTTGGAATTAGGGTGATGGTGGCCTCATAGAATGAGTTTGGAAGTTTACCTTCTTCTGCAATTTTCTGGAAGAGTTTGAGTAAGATAGGTGTTAGCTCTTCTCTAAATTTTTGGTAGAATTCAGCTGTGAAGCCATCTGGTCCTGGGCTTTTGTTTGCTGGAAGATTTCTGATTACAGTTTCGATTTCCTTGCTTGTGATGGGTTTGTTAAGATCTTCTATTTCTTCATGGTTCAGTTTTGGAAAGTTATACTTCTCCAAGAATTTGTCCATTTCTTCCAAGTTGTCCATTTTATTGGCATAGAGCTGCTGGTAGTAGTCTCTTATGATCCTTTGTATTTCAGTGTTGTCTGTTGTGATCTCTCCATTTTCGTTTCTAATTTTGTTAATTTGGTTCTTTTCCCTTTGTTTCTTAATGAGTCTTGCTAATGGTTTGTCAATTTTGTTTATTTTTTCAAAAAACCAGCTTTTAGCTTTGTTGATTTTTGCTATGGTCTCTTTAGTTTCTTTTGCATTTATTTCTGCCCTAATTTTTAAGATTTCTTTCCTTCTACTAACCCTGGGGTTCTTCATTTCTTCCTACTCTAGTTGCTTTAGGTGTAGAGTTAGGTTATTTATTTGACTTTTTTCTTGTTTCTTGAGGTGGGCATGTAATGCTATGAATCTTCCCCTTAGCACTGTTTTTACAGTGTCCCATAGGTTTTGGGTTGTTGTGTTTTCATTTTCATTCATTTCTATGCATATTTTGATTTCTTTTTTTATTTCTTCTATGATTTGTTGGTTATTCAGAAGCGTGTTGTTTAGCCTCCATATGTTTGAATTTTTAATAATTTTTTTCCTGTAATTGAGATCTAATCTTACTGCACTGTGGTCAGAAAAGATGACTGGAATGATTTCAATCTTTTTGAATTTTCCAAGACTAGATTTATAGCCCAGGATGTGATCTATTCTGGAGAAGGTTCCGTGTGCACTCGAGAAAAAGGTGAAGTTGATTGTTTTGGGGTGAAACGTCCTATAGACGTCAATTAGGTCTAGCTGGTCCATTGTGTCCTTTAAAGTTTGTGTTTCCTTGTTCATTTTCTGTTTAGTTGATCTTTCCATAGTTGTGAGTGGGGTATTAAAGTCTCCTACTATTATTGTGTTACTATTAATTTCCTCTTTCATACTCGTTAGCGTTTGCCTTACATATTGCGGTGCTCCTATGTTGGGTGCATATATATTTATAATTGTTATATCTTCTTCTTGGATTGATCCTTTGATCATTATGTAGTGTCCATCTTTGTCTCTTTTCACAGCCTTTATTTGAAAGTCTATTTTATCTGATATGAGTATTGCGACCCCTGCTTTCTTTTGGTCTCCGTTTGCGTGGAATATTTTTTTCCAGCCCTTCACTTTTAGTCTGTATGTGTCCCTTGCTTTGAGGTGGGTCTCTTGTAGACAGCATATATAGGGGTCTTGCTTTTGTATCCATTCAGCCAGCCTTTGTCTTTTGGTTGGGGCATTCAACCCATTTACATTTAAGGTAATTATTGATAGGTATGGTCCCGTTGCCATTTATTTTGTTGTTTGGGGTTCACGTTTATACCACCTTTCTGTGTTTCCTGTCTAGAGAAGATCCTTTAGTATTTGTTGAAGAGCTGGTTTGGTGGTGCTGAATTCTCTCAGCTTTTGCTTGTCTGTAAAGCTTTTGAGTTCTCCTTCATATCTGAATGAGATCCTTGCTGGGTAGAGTAATCTAGGTTGTAGGTTATTCTCTTTCATTAC